GTTGCAATGCAAATTATTTCAAAAAGAACAGACAAACAACAAAAGAACAGACATGAATTGAATTCGGAGGAAGTGAAAATTCATCGCGAAATAAGCGTTTGCTGCAGCTGATCGAGAATTTAAAATTCTAATGGAATTATTGATGCCACTGCTACGCTAAACAAAATAAGTGCTTTTGAAGCCTTAGACATTTGTGAACGAAAAAAATTTGAAATAAACAGCAATAACAGCGGTGCAATGAACGGTATGTAGATCAGCGAGAGTTCACTTCTCTAATAACGCAATAAGCAAAAAAATCGAATCAACCAAGAAAATGAAAATGAAAACAATTCAAAAAGGGTGCACTTATTGCATTCAACGAAGGCAATTTCATGACAAAAAATCCACGCTTTTTAGAGATGCTATTGAATTTTTGTGACATTAATCACGAGTCGTTGCCCGAAGTCAATCACGAATAATCCTGAATCACCTTTCGACGTAAGCCGTACAACAAAGCCGACTGAAATTCAGCGCAAACGTCGACTATTGTGTATAGCAGTGAATAATATATTCGCTTCGTATTTTCACTAATTTTGGTTGATTTTCTATGAAATACAGCTGAACACTGAATTACTGAATGGGTGGATTTATTTTTTAACAAGATCGTATAAATAGAGATGGTATCATTATCAAGAAGTGTGTGTAATTATGTGAAAGCAACTCTTCCTAGAGGTGGAAGGGCAATCTGGAGGGGTGAAGTTTTAAACAGGGTCATGTGAACATGCAAAATTATTGCTAGAATGAGGTCTTATCAGCTTGAAAACAAATATGAACAACGCTGGTTGGAGGCCATATTCCAGCAATCGACATTAGTTGATGTGAAAGTTCGCTTGAAAATATTTTAGTTACGTTAATTGAAGCACTGCGCAAAAAATAATCGAATCCTGGTGAGTTGAGTGTAGAGAGCAGTAGAATGCACGACAAATTTAATTAACTATGCCTGATGTTTACGTGTGCAAAACCACTCAAATCAACTGCAGCCCATATTTCTGATCACTTCTTACAAAATTACCTTCGTGAACATAAGACGGAAGCTTCCTCTATCTCGTGGTATTGGTCGACGTGCCCTTGGCACTTAGCTCAGAAGAGTGATTATCGTGTGAAGAGTGATCATCTAGCGCAGTGATTATCGTGTTTTATGCTCAGTGTCCACATTTGGCCGCATAGCCAACCGCTGTCCCCTCCTCGAACGATCCAATTAATTGAATTCTACCTTCTTCTGATAGACTTTTTCATATTTATCCCGTGATCAAGAGAATTCTTGTCAAAAGTTCTGCGATGTCTATAATGGAACTACTTCCGTGCGATTAAACATGCATTTTGAGAAGATTAATGAACATTTACAGGGGAGATATTTTGAAAAAATCCGTCGGCATTGATTCGCGAGCCTCCTCAATTTTCTTCTGACACCTTCAAATTCTTCGCAGAGATGAATTACTCTTTTCCCTTCCTCGTGAGAAACACTGATTCAAAGAATTCCAGAGGATAAGATATTTTTAAAAGCATGCAGGTAATAGAAGTGGTTCTCGTAATCATTCGCAAAACAACTGCAATAGATTCATATCAATGATAATGAAATTACTAAAGGAAATTTTGTTAATCGCAAAGTTGATCGAAATGTCATTAGTTTATTCATTCTTGTATGGATGGTTATTGGTTATAGCAGAGATAGGAAATAGCTGACTGTATCGCTACTTTGCTAATTAGCAGAATGACGGAATAGCGGAATAACTATTTCGCTGAAAGCGGAGTAGCAGAATAGCTATTGCCCATCTCTGAGTTATAGTAGTGGATACGTGAAAATGGTTTAATAGTGTACTGATGATAGACAGTTGGGGATAAATTAACGGATAAAGGATCAAGCGATTTGAGCCATATTCATTCCCAATCAACTCCTAGAACAATAATTATTCAACCGATGACTACAAAATATATTCGCACAAAATATGATGTAATCTTAATTATTGTCATCATTCTCATTATTACATTACTGTTATAAATACTAGATGACTGCGTTATTTATTATTATTAATATTACTATTTTTATTATTACTACTGTTATTATTATTACTATTGTTATCATTATTCGTCAAGTAATAACTGTGGGATCAAAAGCTACTGGCAAATGATTATCTAATTGCTACAATAATGGTTGTTATTATTACTATTATTAAAATAATATATAACACTCGACTGAAAAGCTGGATTATCTGCATTGACAGACCTAACTTTCGCTGGCTCAAATGCAATCACTAGCATAGTTTTGTTCATGGATAAGTCATGCGAACGCGCATATATACATCAAATAACTCTATAAGAGAACTTTAATGGTGTTCAGATGAGAGCGTTTTAATTACTGTTTTAGTGTCTATAAAACGGATCGTGAAAATTGTCAATACCGCCAATTCACTTCATTCTGGAGTGTTATGAAAATGATGAAAGGACGGAATGAATAGCTGCGAGTATGACGTTGGTGGCATTAAATTGAAATTAGTGTTATGGGATCGCATTTGAATGCAAATAAATGTTTCATAAATGGATTGGCGTGAATTGCGTTTGTTTGATGATGTTGAGTATCATCATATCCACTTTTCTGTGTGTATGCTTGCTGAATTATTTCTCCATCTTTCAAATGATTGACTTTATTCAGTTAGCGATCTTTATTCAATTATTCAATAATGGGCACGATACTGAAAAAAAGTAGCTTTGCTTATTCAATTAAATCGCTTATTCAATTTAAATAGAAATTATGCTCCGCTAAGAATGATCTGATGTAGCACCGCTGAGGAACAAGTAGCGAAATCTTCTTACTAAAAGTGCCGGTAACCAGAATAATAGTGGTGATTTTCGCTAATCGCTACTTTCAAATCTTGCTTCAAAATTTGCAGTCGCCCTGCCGACCTATCCGCAGGAAAACCGTTGAAATTCACCAAAATCTTTTGATAATCCGTTGAAAATGTCGAGTTTCATTCAAACGCAGTTCGCTCAGCAAAAAATAAAAATAAATCACTACAGCAGTAATAACAACCAAATGATGTCCAAATGAAGAGCCATATTATTGAGCCCACAATATGATAAGGATGAAACCTATTCCGACAAGCTTAGCAGTAACTCATTTTGGAGGTACTGCGATATATATATATCATTTTATGTTCGTTTTCTTGCGAAAGCAGTTATGGAGAGAAAGGTGTAATTAACAGTAAATTACGGCAATTAGGTTGAATGACGCAGCCAACAATCAAAGTTGTTAAGACTTAATAATGAGATAATCAAATTCCTTGCCCTTGACTCACTCACACATCCTTCTCAAAGCCGATTAAAATATCACCTTCACTGATCATGCAATGCAATTCAGAAATCCTACACTGGTGACGAGGTTCGGCCAGCAACCAGCAACTAGTGCATTCAACTGAAAACTTGGTAAAAATGATTGATCTCCTGTAAATGTACCTTGAAGACCTTTGAAGTCAGAAGATGAAACATTGGAGAGATAATTCTGAATCACCTGGTTTAGTTAAGTTATCAAATCTTTCCATCCTTCCGATAAATAAATCACTCTAACTCTAAAGGTGAGCAATACTCCTCAAGATCACATAAAATTTTCTGACAGCAGAGAACCTCGAAGAAACCCTTATGTTGCTGGCAAGAATGAGAGCCGTTGTAGCTTGAATATGAAGCTCATAATATTCCTGCAGTAGTGTGGCTGCTTTCAAATCTATTTTCTGAGTCTGCAAAAGTTTAATACAAGTGATGAAGGATGACGCCATGTTCAGAACTAATATACCTATATGTGATGTCTGTATATTTCTGAGTGATTCAATAATAAACAGATCACTAAGTTCTAAAGGCAATAGCTCTGCAGTACAGTATATTCATTATTGAAGTTTTGTGAGACTGGAATTATGGACGAATTATACATTTCTGAGTATGTTCCAAGATTATCCTCTTAATAGCGATATTGATTTTATACCGAAACTGATTATATGTACCAAAATTATGGGAGGAAGAGGTATGTGCAGGGATATTTTCAATCATTGTTTCCACCAGAAGTCACGATCAAAAGTGGTTTTGCAAAATCAAAGAGCAGGTTCGAACTATACGCAACCGCAAAAAAGTAGCTCCGTTAGCGAATTGCGCGCTATTGCCCACTACTGCAGTTATCAAATTCTTCGCTGAAGTCGTCGCACAATTCACCGAAACGCATTACTTCTTCGTCTTCGACTTTCAGGTTCGAATTTTGGGTCAGTAAAGTCGATGGAAATAATAATTTGTAAGTGCTTCGAATAACACAAAGGGCGTTTTGCTTCCTTTTTAGCATGATTTTCAGGCAATGATTCCATCCTTCCATTAATTCTGATCTCTAATGGCCCTCCGTCTCCAAAAATTTCTGCTTGTGTTTCCCGTAACTTGTAATTTCCTGTCAAAATATTTTCTTGATCACTGATAATATGTGATCTAAGTGATTGTTCGAACGAGGTATCAGTCATGCTTTATTGATTGCAATTATGAATATTGCAATTACTGATTGTAATTATGAAATGTTGATTGTCATTATAGAATGTTGATTGCAGTTATGAAATGTTGATTGCAATTATGAATATTCGTACGCGACTAATCTTCGTGAAAACGCGAATGGTAAAAACCGAAAACGAACTGTGTCATTGCTATAACTTAATGTGCTGCTGTAAGGTTGGTTGTAGACTAACTAACCAATATTAAATATTAAAATAATCTTGATTATTTTATCAACAGGGGATCCACTATCAGCTGCATTAGCCACGACAAAGCAGTACGATTTCTTGGCATGAAAATCACTGAACTAGTGTATTTTGATCCATCAATCCGAGCAATTGAGGATTGCATTTCGTACTTTCAGAATTTTTCTTGCTGATGAGTAATAACAGAGGGACTGACTCTCTATTGAACTCATCTGTCTGAGCTGTGATTTCAGAGTGAACGTAATGTCGACAACATGGAGGGTTGATACACCGACACGCAAGAGTCCGAGTGCATATCTACTGCGTTCGAGTGACTCTCGTCCGAAATTCGAAGAAGGAACGTTCATTGAATCGTTGGTTTTTAATCATCCACTTTAGGACATTACGTCATTTCTCTTGCAATCAGAATCGTTTGGCATATATTAACAGCTCATCTGGTGTAATTTTCCAACGTGTAAAGTGAAGCTTTAAATGCTTCTTATTATTAGCAATGTTATCGAACTCATCTTTTCTATATCCGAACACTTGAAATTAATCGTTTTGATAATCAATCGTTGAAAAATTTCGTATGGAATTATGCTGCATTTACAAACGCAAATAATCGAATTTAAGGAAATCCGTACGTTACATGATCAAAGCGAGAATTGGTGAATCTCATTATGGTGTTGTATTGGCAGTTCAGAATGAACTCGGTCATAAATTGGCGTTGAAGATTGAATGGAGAGACCCGAATGATGTTGAGCCTAAAATATCCACTGAAGTTATTGATTGACCTTCTCAATCTGTTACTTCCTGATAGTTTGAAACTATTAATAGCAGTCATGATTGTAAGCTTCCAAAAAAAGAATGGCTCCTTATTTAGTGTAGCTGTTAGCATTACCTTCATTTCAATCAGAATCGTTTGTCATATATTAACAGCTCATTTGGTGTAATTCTCCAGCGTGCGAAGTGAAGCTTTAAATGCTTCTTATTATTATTAGCATTGTTATCGAACTCATCCGAACACTTGAAATTCATTAGAACAAAATAAGCAACACTTTCGTCACTAATGCGTTCTTTAACCACTCGACATATAACAATTTCAAAGGATGCCTCTTAAAGATAACAATTCTACGCGCCCTCCGCCAGAACAGTTTCTCACCGCACTTCATCGACTTCATCGATCGCTCGTCAAAACCACTTTTCCACATGATGTTCACATCGTTGGTGGGACCGTCACTTGATAAAATCACCGGAAATAAACTGCTAAGTTATCGTTGCGCGTTGAAAGTGATGCAGCAAGCGCATGAAGCAATCAAAGAAGTGCACAAAATTGGATATATTCACAGGTTGAGTTACTTTCTTTATCTTGTTCAATTCAGTGATTGATCACTTACTATTGATCATCGTCATATTTCCGTAATCAGCAAATATCGAACTCCTCTTTCTAATTGACAACTACTGAATTTATTGCAAAAGCACTCGATCAGATGAAAATTTTTCAATAAATCACATCTGTATAAAGATTCTATTTGAATAGCTGTTATTCGTGAAGCAGTAATTTGGATGGAAATTTTACCGCATTTGGAAAACAATACTAAAGGCTACCTTTTTACGATCATTGTTCAGAGATTTGAGACCGAGTTGTTTTTGCATTGGTTCACACTCACAGCGGAATCTGATCTATTTGGTGAATTTCGGCAATTCGGCAATTTATCAGAAAGGCAAAAAATTACGAGAGCCAAGAAGTGTTGTAAGTTTCAATTACTCGTTCAATGACTCAAATTACTCGCCATCGTTTCGCACTTTAAGTATAACCTTCAGGCATGAAACTATAAGCCTGACCATTAAAAGCGATCAATACAAAAATAACCTCAACCAAAATATCTTCAAGTCGACAAATTTAAATGTTTAAACTGCTGAACGAACACCATCATTTCAAATATTCGTTTTCAGAAAAGGAATGTTATTTTGAAGTTTCTTACTTGAATAAGCGACAACTTCAAATTTGAAATACAAACTAGAGTTGCATCCAATTCATCTCAGTTTTAGTCGCTCGATGAAAAATAACAATAGAATATGACGATTAAATCTTAAGATAAAATAAGTATCAATGTACATTTAAGGTGCCAATGAAAGGTCATTTGAAGTACGCATCACTGAGCAGTCATAACTGCAAAGAACAATCACCTCGAGATGATTACGAGATGTTACTGTACACAATTGTCGACATTTGTAACGATTTACCTTGGAAATCAGTTCAACAACCCGATGAAGTGCGTTTGTTTAAAGAGAGCATCAGAAGTGCGGAAAATAGAGCTCGATTCTTTGATAAGGTTACACTCTCATAAATTGAATATGTTCTATAATGATATTGAGATTTTGATAGATTTTTATGAGCAATCTGATGGCGATCCGATTTTTGAAGATAATTGCGTATGGGAAAGAACCGAAAGCAAATTTAGAATAGCTTCAAGCAGTTTCATTCATCAACTTTGTTCGATGTTGATCACAAATTTTGATGATAGTCACTAAATTTCATTTTCAATGGTGCGATCTGAACCAGCAAATTATGACTGACAAATCAAATTTTATCTAACAGAAACTTGAGGCATTTGATTATTTAAACCGATGGAAATCGAAAATTTTTGGAATAATGAGAAATTATTTTCAGTTGGCACTAAAAGCATTGGGTCAATTAATGGATCATCTAGACACACTGAGTTATTTCGATCCTTTAGATTATCAGTTCATTTCAAAGATTATTGACGAAGCAGCCATTGAAGTACGGTCTTAATTCTTCGTGTTTCTGGTTAACTCTCTCGTTGATTCGCTAGAAC